GTCCTGGACTATGAATGTACCTATATACCAATGTTTGGTGGTCAGGTGAAGTCTTGGATGAAGGTTTATATGCAAAGAGTGGCTGGAAGTCCTGTTTTCGACCTGTAGGAAGTCCCATTTCACGGCCATTCGAAATGTGCCACTGTATTTGACTTTAGGAGCCCTGTGTGCTCACAATTCTTAGTTTAGCATAACAAATAAGTGTACCTGTTGACCAGGACAAAGGATTGTACCTATTGCACCTGATAGCACCTGCTATTTGCACCCAAACTACCTTGAAACCTGTCTTGAGCTGACCTCAAGACTTTGCCATTCTTGTTTACAGTGTGCCTAACACACATCAAAGCCATGGCTGTTGTTGAGTTTGTCTAGTGATGAGGAGTCAGGTTGTTGTATTCAATATCACCCTTCTTCTTGCCCTTGGCATGCCTCTTCCTCATGACAAAGGATTGAGCTACCCTTTTCTTCCTTTTCTCAGCCAAGTCAACATGGCAGAACAATGCACCAGACTCAAAGCTGGGGAAGGTAACATTCAAAGTAGAGGGATCAACTGGAAAGGGGAGCTCCATGGTGAACTCTGAAATGACATCACCCCTGACATCAAGGATGGACCTGACATACTGCTGCATGGCATGGCGCCTCACATTGGTATCCTCCAGATTTTCCCTTGTGTGTTGTTGATAGAGATAATAGAACTCCCCAATATCTAAGAGGTCTTGGTGCCACTTCTCACTGATAGTTAGCTTCTTGCCATTCGCAGAGACCATGGTTTCGATGTCAGCTTCCGATAAAGTCTAGGAGCGAGAGCTCTGGATCCCGTCAGAGATAGCTCCAACAGCTATGCTGGCCTACAGCTCCAGCACCCACAGCTGGCTTATCTCCAGCAAAGCAGCAAGAAAGGATCGTCCTTTCTACCATAGTTAAGAAAATAGTACGAAAGATTGAGACCGATCCTGATTAGCTTGTAGCCCCATTGATACCGCAGCAGTTGATACCAATCCTGTTGAGGCCGGGCAGAAGCAGTAGGAGGTAGCAGATAGTACTGTTCCCAGACTGCCACTGCACAATTGAATAACGAAGGCCCCCAGCTCCTGAGGTGAGCTGGCCCAAAAGGGCCCAGCAGAGAGCTCTGCTGGCCCTCCTGTCTGACTGACAGGGCCAAGTCCTTGGTTTGGTGCCTACTTGTGGTGTTGGAACACTCCTGAGGCACGACAAGGCTCCCTGAACTGCCTGACTACCGCTGTCCCTGAGGAAGGGTTTCAGCGAGATCCAGTCCACTACTTGGGTATTGGAACTGAACCTTCCAGAAACTTATTGGATTAACAGTCAGCATAGATTTGCAGGCAGTCCTTAAGGGAAGAAGAGACCTCCTTGACGAGAAAAGGATCTCTTCGAATTACACTACAGTTACAGTTGGTTTCATTGGACTTCACTGGCATTCGGTGTTGATTTCAGGTCCACTTCGAACTCCTAAGTCAACAACCTTCTGGTCAATTTAGATAGTTCCAGCCACCACCACAGTGACAGGAACCTTTGACTTGGCCATACACCAATCTACCACTCTAACAGAAAGCCCATTGCCTTGAAGAAACCTATCTTCAAAGGCACCATCAACACAACACCATCGACGACGGCAACACTACTGGTGTTGACCACTTCACGGGAAAAGCAACCAATTCGCTCGAAAGAAGTCAAAGAAAGCGAGTGAAGTCGAGACTTATTGTTTTCGCACCTATCTTGGCAATCGAGCAACGCTTTTACGCTTTGAGGAACGGGCTTATTCCTTTCCAGTCAATCAGCGAATTACGTGGCTTATTGCGGTGTACGGGGTATATCTCTTTCATTCGGCTGTGCAGTTTTCGAGTGTCAAGAGTTTCCGTCCTGTATCGGATTCAGCTTTTTCGGAACGTTGAAGAAGATCTCACGGAAATCTCTCAACCAATCAGATCGTCCGTGCAGGATTCGAGAGTCACCTGAATTTTTTGGTACTTATTGAACGTGCACTGAGTCAGTGCGCGGAACGTCACAGAGTTCTTTTGCGATCCTGGAAGCCTGTACCGGTCACGGATCCTTCGAAGACTTATACGTGAAGCGTTCCCCCGATCCGAAAGCAGGCTCAGCCTACGTAATCGCTTTGAGCTCACATTTTAAGGTGTTTACGTGGTCGAGTCATTGAAAATCGTGAATTCACGATCTTCCGTACGGAGCCACCCTCACGAAGAGAGTAACTCGCAGGGCCACGACGACACCAAGAGTCTGATTCAAAAGGTTCTAGTTACCACCATTGAATCCGCCATCCCTCAATTGGTCAGTGGATATACCAGCTTGAATTTTGGGAGCTTTTGTGGGGAGATTCATTGAGCCCAAGTTGACTGGCTCCACAGTGGCAAAATCACCAAAACCAAGGCAGTTTCCAGCACCAAGGCGATACAAGAAGCTTGTTCCAGAGCCTGTACCCACGCTACCTTATTCAAGTACACTTAGATTGAATTTCCCAGGCCCCTAGCAAGGTCCCAAGAAGTCATCTTTGTGGTTTCCAGATTACAGTTGAGTCAAGCTTTATTGCACTGCAACAAGAGCTGAGATCGAGTGTCTCCACCAA